ACTTCTTCGGATGCATAGCCGAAGAAGTGAGGTTTTAACTCACGAAAGCTTATGCCCAAATAAATCTGTTAGTCTTTAAGGTGCCACCAGACTCCTTGTTGTATTTACATCAGTAACGCTTGCAGGATTGGACTCTAACATTCTAATATTTTAGGATGGCAAAGGCCTCAATCCTGGAAAGACTTCTGCAAATCTTGAAGTTTATGTACTGTGAACATTGACTTTAATGAGACTATTCAGTACATAAAGTTAAGCATGTACAGAAATGTTTACAGGACTAGGGCATAAATGATTTTAAAATGTCAACTGATTCAAATGACTCAAATCTTTTATCAGAGATAAAAATGTCAGTAAAACTGGATTTTAGGGCTTTCCTGTTCTAAGAGATTATTTTGTTGCTTCAAAAGATTCCACAGTGGTTCAATAAATTTTTCTTAAATTGTCTTAAGATATCTTTATGTAGTCCTTGTACAAGTGCTCTTGTTGTTTTGGACTGTGCAAGCTGTCAGTTGGGTTTGAGTTACATGAAATAATTATACTGAATGATTAAATGAATTCTTCATTGTGTATTATGCTGGAGCTGTAGCATAATGTACAGGACTTTAAAAGCTCCATTTCCATCACTGGATATTCAGATCCTTAATGTTCATTAGTTTGTTCAAGGGCCAAATCGTAAGATGCAAAGGATGGAGCCGAAGTATCCCAAGAGATGTAGAAGCATCACTGTTACTGGGTGCTGATTTTATTTATATATATAATATGCCACTGGATGACACTTAATAAATGCAGAGGCAAGCCCACGAACAATGAAATGTGATGGATGCTGTACCAGTGTTTCTCAGACTTTATCGTACTGTGATCCCCTTCTGACAACCTAAATTACTACAGGATCCCAGGAAAGGGGATTTGGGGGAGGGGCCCAAAGCTGAGGCTCAAGGGCTTTAACCATGGGGGGGCGGGGGGGGAAGAGTGGCTGTAACCTGAGCCTCGCCACCCAGGGCTGAAGCTGAAGCTTTAGTCCCGCTGCCCAGGGATGAAGCCCTCGGGTTTCGGCTTCATCCCTGGGTAGTGGGACTCAGGCTTCAGCTTCAGCCCCAGACCCCAGCAAGTCTAATGCCAGCCCTGGCAACTCCATTAAAACAGGGTCATGACCCACTTTGGGGTCTCGACTCACAGTTGGAGAACTGCTGCGTTAGTTTTAAAATCAATATCTCAATTACAGTAGTGTTTTCGATTAAGAGAACAGGAAGAATTTAACTTGATCAGATTGTCATTTGTTGAAATGCTTTGCTTGGAAAACACTGAAAAGAGATATTCCATTCTGTAATCAGGATGTTTCTATATACAAAAGTAATTCAGAGGTGTAATATTTCAACACATCCTGTTTTTAAGAACCACTTCACCTTTAAATGAAAATATTTCATATGTTATTTTGAGAAGGTATTTTTCTGGTGCAGGATAGCACATTTTTTATATATAGTTATTGTAGCTAGAAGCTAAACAAAGTCTTCTGGTACCAATGGATTTGTATGTGCAGACATTTGATAAATAGGATAGAAAAATATATGGTGAGCAGGCTAGTAAATGTGAATTAAAAATAGGCAACTGAATTAAAGACTTCTTTTGTGGCTCTGGGATAAAATTTTAAATACTAATGAAGTATATTCTCATAATATAATCAGCAAACATCTTAATCCTCCAAATCTCAGTGCAGTTTGATAATGAGGGATTACACCCATCTTCCTTTCTACCTACATCTCTTGGAGGGTTAACTCTTCATGCACCAGATTTATCTCTCTGCTCTTAAGATTTCTAAGAGAAGCCATTCTGATCCAGGTTTTTTAAATGGACAATACCAGTAACTACAAACTAGAACTTCATTTTAAGTTCTCTTTTCAGTGTTTTGAAAGAAGAGTATTTCAGCGAATGACAGTACTTGCTCAATTTTGCAGGGATGGTGTGACTTCAGTGGGTTTCAGTTGACTTCAAGGATCTGCCATGGTGCAGCAAATTGCAGAATTGGGGGCCTTAATTAGTTTTATGAATGTTTCCGTGACTGCTTCCTATGTCATAGTACCATATATATTCGTAAATGGGATGAGATAGCAAAGGTAAGGTCTTTAAAAGGCACATTTGCATTGAAGCTGGTGCAGAAAAGAACATGCCCACGTTTACTCTATACCAGTGGTTCTCAAACTTTTGTACTGGTGACCCCTTTCACATAGCAAGCCTCTGAGTGCGACTCCCTTCCCCCCCCCCCCCAATAAATGATTTTTTTGGGTATATTTAACACCATTATAAATGCTGGAGGAAAAGCAGGGTTTGGGGTGGATGCTGAGAGCTCATGATCCTCCCATGTAATAACCTCAACCCCCTGAGGGGTCCCAACCCCCAGTTTGAGAACCCTTGTTCTATACTTTTTGGATGTAATGTAAGGTAAAATGTTTAGTAAACTGTTTTTCCAGAACTATTAATGAAATAAAGTGAAGTATAACATGCTGTAGTATGATGGGAAATGATTCCCCCCCCCCCAATTATCACCACCCTTAAGCTATCCTCTTGCACACTAATTGCTTCAGAGTTTTTTGCATAATTATTGGGTAGTGAATGAGTGTACCAGATATTCCAGTTTAGTGAAGCATGAGAGCTGCAAGTATTTTGGCAGATAATCCAATAACTAATGTTAATCTCTGCAATCCAGAAAAATTCTTTCACTATTGTCAGCCTCCACTGAAAGAAGCTGATTTACAATTTTGATGATTATGTGCAATTTTCACAAAGAGCTTTCCTTTTAGTCTGTGTGACCATGACTGTGTTCAATTGTCAGGCATGCTTGTTTTCAGTTAAAAATCATAAAGTCCCCATTATAATCTAATCATATGACTATTTTTTAATTGAAAAACTACCTTTTTGTGACTGTGGAACTGCTGTAGTGCATTTTTGAAGGCCCTTCTCATGTATGAAAATTAATCTGCTCTATCTTCTATGTGGAGTAAGCTATGAAATTCATAAAAATGTTTTCATGGTGGAAGAAAGATTTGCCCAATATGGATTTCTCAAAGAGAGACTCTAAAATATATATTGCAAATTACTGAAAACAAGTCTTCTCTTCAATGCTTAACTTAATTTTTCTGTTTGACCCTGAGTGCCATTGTTATCAAATCAAAGTGACATAACTAAATATTGTATGGCAATTACTAAACTGGGTATCTAGTTTCATTCAGTTTCAGGAATGCTGCTCAAGCCTAGCTGGCTAAGAGTGAACAAACAGATTAATTATTTAGATAATCTGCATATTTTGAACTGGTTCATTGGTGTACTATTGATTAACACTGTTAACAAGTTAGTCATGTGTCTCTAACATCCTTTATAAGAATATTGGTCATTAACTTTTTAAATATATCTCCAACCTTCATTTTACAACAAAGTGCTTTTCCTCTTTTCCAAAGGGCTTTTCTTTTGGAGGGAAGCATTTCATTCCAATATTTCTGTGCAGGGGAAACACTTTCAATGCTACTCCCTACCATTTTCTTTTCCTCCTGCCATGGTCTTTCCCCAGTATCCTTTTTCTTTCCCCTTCAGTTCACATCCAAATTCTTTTCTCCCTGCTAGATCTCATCACCCTAGTCCATCACACCCATCCCCTCTTTTTTTCCT